AGACTTGCAATATGAATCATATCCAAACCTTTATATATGTATCTCAAACTCATTCAGTAGCACAGCTCCATAAAATGGAGATGAATATAAAATAGTGATGGCAAAGTCTACAATTTCCTATTAGAAACATATTTGCACAGTACATTACACTAAATCTATTGCCCACCTTCCTTTGTACTATCCTAACTCTGCTAATCCATCCTTCACTGGTCAAACTTATTCTTTCTTCATCTAAAGAATCTTTAAGCTTCATCTTACACCAACCTTGCAAGAATAAATTAGTCATTCTTGAATGCATACATTATTTCTGGCCTGGTTGTAGCGATAAACAATGGCATGGAAAGAAGCTTTGAGTTAATGTGTAGTTCAAGATTATGCAATGCTGAAAAAGAACACATAGTCTTGCAAATAATGCATCTAATGTACTTTAATTACTCCTTATTAGCTGCAGTGTGAACACAAAATGAATTATATAGTGCAGAAAAATTACCCATGAATAAATACTGTTACAAAATATAAGCATACAAAAAATGTCCAAATGAAATATAATGTCCAAATAGTTTCAAAATTCTTGGAAGCTAAATTGCTTGCAACAACCCATGATTGAATTATCATCCTCTGATAAATGTTCTGTTACCACCCTCTTGTCTCAGAGTGGTAGTAGACTATAATGCGAAGGAGATGATCCACAATTCTACTGAATCCAACAGGATTTGACATATTTACCAGGAACTGACAATCTTTTCAGGGCTTGTATTCATGCACTCTCATATGATGATCCAACCACTGCAAGGGTTTTTTTTCTAACAAAGACCATCTTTTACTTGGTAAATTCATTTCAAACAGTTTAAACAGTTTTGTAAATTAATGAGGTTACCTACCTCTTAGATGTTGAAAAAGACTTGGATATAAGGTCCCCATAAAGAAATGAACTGAATCAACATACAACACTTAAGGAATCTGTCCTATTTGGTGTACCTAAAATTTACACCTGATTTACTTAAGTGAAGAAAATATCTAAAGAAGAAAATGTTAAAGAAAATCCCATTTGTGAATAATCCCTTCTCCCTCAAGTCACTTGATTAAAAATCATTCATTCCATGTGTGGTTGTGTGGATTATTGGGAAGTTCTACCTAAGGTCAATTAGCCATCTCTGATTATTGGAAGTACCCATGGAACAGTTTTCTGCTGTTCAGAAGACGTGCATTCTACAGTTTGATTTACAATTACCCCTGTCCAATTGTAATTCTGATTTCATCCAAGTGACAGGCATTTATTAAGCTCAGCTATTTGTCCGTGCCCAGATCTTTGCAGAACTATATATTTTTCATTTACATCAGTTGAATGTCTAATTTATTACTCCTTTTAATTTAAGAAACTTAAAGGGAAAAAGCTAGCTTTTACACAAACCATACATGGAATCCTCTTACTGGCCTTTTATTACTATTCCTTGGCACAATAGCTAATATGAATATTTCTAGCACTTCTACTTTTATACATTTATATGAAGGTGTCCAGGTGTAGATTTCAAATGATAAATCCTAACGGTGCTTTCAAGCAGTAAAAAAGAAGTCCTTACATGTTAACTGACAACTGCCTTCCATTTTACTGGTGCTAACATTTACCTCTTGGAAGCTGCTTTCATATTTTCTGTAATGCAGTGTTTCTCAGCCTTGGTGACTTTAAGATGTGTGGACTTCAACTCCCAGAATTCCCCAGCCAGCATGAGAAACACTGCTCTAATGTATGGGCCAGCCCATGATAGTATCACTTCCCCAATGATAACCCTTGGAATGTCTCATTTGATCATCATGGCTGTTTAAGAACTGATGCTTTAATTCTCATGCTTTTAAAAATTTCAGATTTAAAAAAAAAACTGAAACAGAACAGAACTAATTATAATGTTTCAATAAGTGTTTCTATTACTGGATAGAACACTGGTGATTTCTTACAAATCTTATTAATGCTATTATGTCAGTCTATCTTACTAGATGTTACAATTCTAAACTGTAGATTACAGATTATGGTCCTCCTGCAATTGTTGAACTTCAACCTCTATACACCTTAGCTGCATGACCTATGCTGGGGGATGATAGTACCTGCGCTCCAATATAATTTGCTTCAGCAACTAGAACTGAATAGAACAGTCTCAAAGCTTCCCTCACCACAACTTAATTTAATGAAAATAATTGACTAGGCTACATGCTATATGCTCAAAGTCACTTGCATACTTAACTCACCCATTTACTTATTCATTCAACTCTTTTTAAATATTCAAAAGAGTTAATTTTGTTTCCTTTCTAGTTTTCTCACAGTACTTGAGCAGCTTAGACACAATGGATGGCAAAATATTTAATAGCCTGCTGTGGCTTTTATACATATTAGTTTTCAGCTACAAGGCTTCATAGAACAAAGAAAGCCAAATTTGAGGTAAAAATGGAAGGCAACTATTCCAGAACATTTGCAGATTTCAGGCCAACAAATCCCACTGCAGAATCAGAGTCTATAAAAGTAAATTAAGGTACATGCTTGTAAATCTACAAAGCTTTCCTTGATTTAAAATGGTAGTCCTCCAAATCAGTTGTAAATGAAATGCCTGTACAAAATAATTTCATTCAACAGAAGCCTGAACAGCCAAGACACTTTGGTAATCTCAGAGGAAATCATGCTTTCGTGTCTTTACTTCTAAAAATAGTTTGTAAATTATTTTAAAAATATTATTATTTTACTATGAAAATGACTGATTTTCTATTTTCGTACAAAGAATCAAAACAAAGAGTAAGCTACATATGGCTCTGTGACAAAGATCGAGGGATGTACCATTTTCTTTCCAGTGTGTGTGAATGTCACATTTATTCACAAGCTTATTCTGTTTTCTTTTCTATTAAACTGTGGCTTAAAAAAACTGTAAAATTGTAAGAAATGCATATATGTGGAATTGTTTCTCTCAAAATACCCAGTTGTAAAAACCTTTCCTCTGGAAGAAAACCATTCCAAATGTATTTTGTTCTAAAATATTACCCTCATTCTCACATTTAAACAACTGAGAACTACATTGCAACATTATGAAAACTGTAAAAATCGTAATCCTAATGGGAAGTAAACAGGTTGGTTTGCATTAAAACTTCTCCAATGCCACATAGCAGAATCAAGCAATAAATAACTATAATAGTATGTTCATCCAGTATTGGTTTTGCACAGGTACATGGTCTTGAGTGCACAACATAGAAAGATAAGAACTCATAGCAGGGAGTAACATAACAGGGTAATTCTTTGATCATACAATCACTCTTATTTTCAGGTTGTTCTTGACCAGTTCACTAACTGCATCCATTCTAACTGGACTCAAATTTGGCTTAAAGTGAAATATCTGAAATAATATGAATGGCTCTGTTTGCCAAAATGAACAGATAAATTTTGTAAAAAGCAAAGCCAGGCTTGATAGGGCTGGTAAAATTTCTCAGAGGTTCAAGCCCAATTTGGGGCTGAAGGAGATAAAGCTGCCCTACTTGACTTGGCTCTGCATATCATATACTGTATGTATCCCCCACTGAATGTCCTGCTGAGATTTCCAACAGATGAATAACCTCTTCATGTTAGGTTAGGCAGGACTGTATATTGGGACTCCATACAGGGCATTCTTGGGTTCGCTCAGACTGTTGTGAAGAATCTTGTCATTCAAAATCATGTGCCTAATTACAGGGAAAGCAGATGTCTGCTATTGAATGTTAAATTGAATTTCCACTACAATTTAAGGCCCACAGAAAAAAATAGTGCTCAAATGAAAACAACAATTGTGCTGAGATTCAAACACACACCACATACACATATTGGACCAGAAATATTTAGGACCCTCCTGAAGGACAACAAGGGGGACAGATATAGTTTCTTGGAATAAGAGATACGGGGACATCTCCATAAAGATACTAATTAATCTAACAGCTTTCAGTATAGTTTGAACAGGAATATATGGAGCTGCCATGACAACTGAACACTGTGAGAATTGTAGCCCTGTTATCTGGAAGCCCTGAACTGAGGAAAGTGAGTATATGCTGTCTATCAGTTAACCTGGTACCAAACTGTTTATGCCAAGCACGTATAAATCTACTTGAGGTTTGTTCAGCATTAACAATTGTTATTCCTTGAAATAAGAATTCTAAACAAGTCCACAACTTTTAAAAACTGGTAATAAAATTCATTATAAATAGAAATTAAGGAAGAGTAAAATGCAGTAAATAAAATAAGGAATTAAAGAGCATGTTATCCTTTTCCCTTAATCAATGATTTAAGGAATTTAATCAATCCCAATATTGTATATTGGACTGGGCAATGCTTTATTCCAAAACAGTGCTGTGGAGCATGTGAAAATGCAAACCTTGCACTTGTGTACAGCTCTTCAGAATAGCTGCATCTTCTCCCTGGACTGCACAGCAGCTGCAGGGGGCAGTTAAAAATTCCTGAGAAAAGATGTGCCTACTATACACAGCTGCAGATGTGTTGCTGTTGTGCTCTCACATGCTTCTAATTATTCCCAAAGTGCTGTACGGCCCTACTCTGTATGGCTTTCCAAATCTTCAATGTTATAATTCCAAAAGACTATAAAAACTCTCCATGGAGTTCTTCAGTTTGATTATATAAAACACAACTCTTATCCTAATATACCATTCATCAATGAAGTACTTAGTTTTTACCTCACTCTATAAATTTACCATCCAAGCTAATGTTAACAAAAAATTTGCAGTTTAATGAATTCACTAAATTAGATCCAAATTGTATAAAGCAGTATTTATTACTGTTTTTACTGTCAGGACATCCTGCATGTAGTTCTGGTAGAAAATGCATTTAAAATAAAATAAAAACAAAGTTTAGTCTGAAGCAAGCCCAATTAGAGTTATTATTATTATTGTTATAACATCAAGATCAAGATATATTAGCAGTGTATGTCCACGCAGGAATCTTTAATAATTTTTAAAGAAGAATTCAGATTGACTTAACTTGCCTTCTTTGAAGATCTTGTTCCAATAAATTCTACCAACGTCATTTCCACCAAGAAAGATAAGGTTAGAAAAAATCAAGAATGTGGTAGATACAGCTGCCATTGCTGCATGGAATCGACGAATTCCTCTTGGGGATAAAACCTGGTTCTGAAAAGATAAAAATTAAAAGACAGCTTAAAATAAAAGCTAGCACTATTTTAATGCTGGATTAATTGAAGTCTATTTATTGTTGCCAGACTACATATTACTGGGGGGGGGGGGCAGACTGTTAAAACATTCCAGGGATAATTTTCAGGTGAAATGTTAAGTAATCCTCAAAGTACACCGGCTTTGTGAATTATATTTTAAAAGTGCTAGTTTTGAAAGTTGTCTTTAAGTAGGTTGAACAGAAGTTAATTCAAGTCAACCATTGTTTTCCTATATGAAGTTTGAAGACTGGAACTCTATGTACAACCAGCCCAGTGCTGGAAAGTTGATTCTTTTTCCTTTTCTGTTTCTTTCCTTCTTCAATTCAGAAACTCTATTTTATTCTCCATTCCCAAGCAAAGCCCTGCTTAATGCAAAAGAGGCTCCTCAGCACATTTTGTATGTGTGTGTGTGTGTGTTTGTGTGTGTGTGTGTGTGTGAGAGAGAGAGAGAGAGAGAGAGAGAGAGAGAGAGAGCGCA